CAACCAAGCAGCGACCGAGGAAGCGGCGATGCGACGCTGCCCATCCAGCCCCCTGCCTATCCAGCTATTTTTAGGAATATTAAGCCTGTAATAAGCCTTTTTGGCCAGGATCTATTTCTGTTTGTTCTGCTTAGTCAGGATTTTGCCTGAGCAGAGCTCTGGTTGGGAGCCAGGCCGGGGCAGGAGGGCAGAGCCCGCATTCTCCTGATCCCCACGGAGCATCCCGACGGCCACGCCGGAGCTTGTGACAGCCTGGCCTCATCCAGCAGCCAGCCATTTCCTTGGAGACTTCATGCAGATTAAACTGGATGGGTTTTTAAATAAAATTCCCTGTGTAACTACAGGCTGGAGGGAAAATTCCCTCGGTCGGAGCTGCTTGTGGATGTAAACAACTTCATTCTTTGGATGGCGTCCTCCGAGGAGCCCTCGGATTTCGCTGTCACTTCACTGTGACTTATCTCTGCAGCGTAATATTTTCTTTGCCTCCAGGAAGGCAGCTCAGCCTGCTCCAGCTGCTGCTTCCCGAAATCTTGTCCTGGGAAGGGAACCGACGTCTCTCATGTCTCTGTTATTTGAGCCTTGTCACGGCGGAGGAATTTTTGCCCAAAATGAGCAGAAGTCGAGGCAGGGTGTCAGTACATACTGAGCATGTTTGTAAGAAGTCGTCTCAAAGCTTCACTGAGCTTTTCCAAAAGAAATGCAGAGTGAATTCCACATTTTTCCTGTTGTTTCGTGGTTCGTGCTCAGCTGTTTTTTACTCGGTCGGAGTTGTGGGTGAGGTTTGCTGTGAGTTTTGTCTTGTGTCAGTGACTGTACTGGGCTTGTTCATCTCCATGTGGACCATTACAGATAAAATTGGTACAAATTCTACCAGAAATCCTGGAATTTGGGCTGGGAGCCAGCAGCCTTACAGCTGGAGGAACCTCCCAGTGCATCTCAGACTCAGGGTTTAAACTCTGAACAAATTCACACAGAGCTTTCAGAGCAGAAATTTCTTTTGGAGCTCGGAAGGTTAATCTCCAAAGTGTCTTGATGCAGACTGGGTGGGCTATAAACTCCAAAATATTCAAGCTGTGGATGTAATCCATGATTTCTGCCATCACTGGTTGATTCCCCGCCTTTCCCAACCTAAAACCAGTTTCCAGAGTGCGTTATTTGCTCTCTAATAATTAATAATTGCAGCCTGCTTTCTGGCTTGGTTTGAATTGCTTCATTTCCTGTGGTTATGTGCAGTTGTGGAGGGTCTGGGCAGCGTTTCCTCATGTATCAGGGCTTGCAGAACCCTGGAATATCCTGAGTTAGAAGGGCCCATGAGGGCAGTGAGCTCCAGTTTCATCCTCAGCACACCATTACCTGCAAGTTTGTCACCTCACACAGTTTCTGTCCCACAAGCAAACAAGCTGGAGCGGTTTAAAATCAGAATATTTACCAATATTTCGTAGATTATGGTTTTAAATTCTGCTTTGTTTCTTCGGTGTGAGCTTTGCTTAACACAGAGACGTGCAGTGCTTTGTTGGTTGAGTTTCTGGGAATGTTTCTGGCTTTTATTTCCTGCTCACCTCTGAGGGTGGTTTTTAATACAGAAATAGACATCACCTTCACCCTTCCCCGCTCTGTGTCTCCCTTGGTGTTGTGGTGGTGCTTCCCAGGCACCCTCAGGCTCTCCAGAAGTGCCAGATCCAGGTTTTTTTTCCCCTGGAGTCAACATCAAGGTGGATAATTCTGTCTCAACCGACTCAGGTGCCTCCTCCAGCCTTGCAGCCACTAATTCCCCGAAGCTCTGAGTTGTCTTCATCCCTTTTTCTCCATCCAGCTTTGAATTTTCTGCTTTAAAGTGTTTGGGTTCGGTGTCAGGCTGACACCGTGTTGGCAGCTGAAATTCCATCAGGAATTCCAGGGGCAGGACAAGGGGAATGGCTTCTCACTGATAAAAATCCAATCCTGGATTGGGTGTTAGGGGGAAACTCCTCCCTGTGAGAATGCTGAGGCCCTGGAATGGGTTTTCCAGAGGGGATATGGGGTGCCTGTGCCACGGACCAGGCTCCAAAATCCATGGAACCTCTTGGCTCGTGGAATCAAGACAGCTTTGGGTGGGAAGGGACCTTAAAGGCCACCAGTGCCACCCTTGCCATGGCAGGGACACCTTTCAGTGTCCCAGGATGCTCCAAACCCTGTCCAGCTCTGCCTTGGGCACTTCCAGAGCCCCAGCTGCTCTGGGAATTCCATCCCAGCCCCTCCCCACCCTCACAGGGAGGAATTCCTTCCCGATATCCCATGTGGGATATTGGCTGCAAAGCTGCTCCTCGGTGGAGGATTCTGTGCTGTGATTCTGTAAAATTGAAAATTTACACACAAAAAAAACTGTGGTTTTCTGTGTCCTGTCCAGAATAATTTCTTCTATTGGACAACACCTGGTGTTAAAGAAGACGAAAGAGACGTTAGGAGAAGCAAACTTGTGGTATTTATTTTTTTTATCCCATGAAGCATTTTGAAAGCCTGGAAGTCTAGAATAGCCTCTGACATTTTTTCAGAGCTTTATTTTTGTATGGACTTGCCAGAAGGTCCCCATGTCCGTGGTATATTTAGCTGTACGTGCTGCCATGACTTAGCAAAATCCCAATTCCAGCCTGTTTTCACCCAGCCTCTGCCATCTGAGCCTCAGGCTTTGAAGGAAGGCTGGAGAAAATAGGTCTGGAGATGGATCCTGGCTCATTCCAGGGGAGGGAGAATTCCAGAGCTGAGGTTCTCCCATGGAGCCCATCCTGCCTGGGCCCTGTCACGGTTTAAGTCCAAGGACTATTTTTAGTAAGACAAAAAACAAACATTCCTTTAGATTAGTGCTGGTCAAAGGGAAACTCCTGCAGAAACGAGTCTGGGGATGGGATTTGTGCCGGGACTGAGGTGAGATTTTCCTGCTGAGGGATTTGATGGGCAGAGTTCTCTGTGATTAGGTGGAGGCTCCTGGAATCTCTGCTTTAACCCTTCCTGCCCTTGTTCTGCTCTGGTTCCTTTGTGGAAGTCTGCTCCTTTAATTTCTCTGAGCCCTTTTTGGGGAGGAAAATCCTGATTCAAGGTCTGGACAGTGGTGGGAAAGGGTTTGGATATGCCTGTGTGCTCCTGTGACTGGGGGGAAAGGAATCACATCTTGTTTTCCCATGAATAATTCCTCTGCACTCCTCCTCCATTAGAGCTCCCTCCATGATTTCCTTGATCTAACCAATCAGCTAATCAATTTAATTAACTGGTCCTGCCCCAGCATGTGCAGGTGCTGCTCTCCCAGCCTTGGGAATGTGTGTTCCCACCCACTGTGGCTCCAGAGTCACCTGGAGATGTGAAGGAAGAGCCCTTTGCAAGCTGGGAATGGCAAAAGCTCTGTTTAATTATATTAAATCAGCAAATTGGGCTGAGAGCTGCCAGGCTGGCTTCTGCTCAGGACCTGTGATACTCCTGGTGGGAAGTGATAAATGGGTCTGTGGGGGGAGCAACACTTCTGCTGACTGACATTTTGGGAAGGAAGTTTGAGAATTCCCACTTTGGCACCATGCTCTGGCAGCCTTGGGGTAATTCAAAAGCAAACTGGGATTTGGGAGCGCAGAGTGTGACTAAAATCCTGGGGTTTGGTGTTCTCTGGGGGTGATGGTGTTCCTCAATTCCCAGTTTTCCATCACCAGCTGGAGCATTTAAAGGGCCATTTAGTGGCAGCTCATTGGATTTCATGGGAAGTTGTGGTGGGATTGGATCCATGCTTGGTACAGGATCTTTGGGATGTGTTGGGATTGGATCCAGGCTCAGGTACAGGATATTTGGGATGTGTTGGGATTGGATCCAGGCTCAGGTACAGGATATTTGGGATGTGTTGGGATTGGATCCAGGCTCAGGTACAGGATATTTGGGATGTGTTGGGATTGGATCCAGGCTCAGGTACAGGATATTTGGGATGTGTTGGGATTGGATCCAGGCTCAGGTACAGGATATTTGGGATGTGTTGGGATTGGATCCAGGCTCAGGTACAGGATATTTGGGATGTGTTGGGATTGGATCCAGGCTCAGGTACAGGATATTTGGGATATGCTGGATCCATGCTTGGTACAGGATATTTGGGATGTGCTGGATTTTCCCCAAGGCAAGACAATACCAAATCTTAGAACTGTTTTTATTTAGGTTCTTCTCAAGAGCCCTGTGAGGCTTTGCTCTCTGTTTTCCTTGGCATTCCTTGGAAAAGAGAAGTTTCTCTTGTTCTTAGAGTGTCTGAGATCCTTTTACCTGGTCCCAAAGTCCATCCCAGGTGCATCAGGTGTTTTCCATGGATTTGGAGGGATACAGGAGCTGGCTCTGGCCTCGTTGCCTTGGAAGAACACAGAGCTTTCCCAGCTCCTCCTGGTGCAGCACCAAAGGTCACAACTCCTTTAAACCATTCTTGGTGGTTTAAACATCAGTCCTGTTTGTCCCAGAGCTCCCCAGGGCTGGGAGAACGTTCTGGGCTCTGCAAGACTTTGTTGTTTCTCTGTTCACCTTTTCCATCACAGAAACCAACCCTGCTGCACCTGCACCTTCCACCTCTGGTGGATATTTGGGCTGCTGGACCCCTCCTCCTCTCCCTTCCAGCCCCTTGGCCAGATGTTTGGTCTGTAAAACCTCCCAGTTTTGACGTGTCTGTGCCTTGGTGCGCCCCCAAAGTGCTGAGGGAGCCTCCCCAGCTCACAGCCACATCCCAATTATTGTTTCCTTCACTGGAGCAGCTGCAGATCTCAGTTTATATTTAACCTCTCAATCCACAGAGCATCCTTGCACTGTGCTTTAAGATATTTTGATGTAATGCTTCACCCAGCTGTGGTCCAGTGCAGGAGCTGGAAAGCTGCAGCACAGAGTTTATCTGTTAGGAATTTACTGGTCCAGATACCTGGAAACAACCTCTTTAACCAACCACTTCTTCCCTGGGGTAAAGCAGCGTTTGTTCCCTTGAGTTGTGGCTAAATTATGCCATTTTTTTGTGTTTGCAGATGTTCTCAAACAACGATGAAGCTGCAATCAACAAAAAACTGCCCAAAGAGCTGCTGCTTCGGTGAGTCCTCCCTGGCCACCGGTGGGTTGTTATTTGCCTCCAGGATTTTGCTGCTCTGCTCCCAAATCGTGAGCTTGGATTGGGTCACTCATAAAGCCAGACCCAAACAGAGGCAGGTCAAAGGTCTGTGTCAGCAGTTTGTGCTAAATGGGATTAAGTTTTGGGCTTTTAAATGCTGGATTGATTTGCTGGTTGTTTGGTGAATGGAGGAACTTTAAATCAGGTCCTTAATGAGCGTGAGGATCCTCTCATTAATCCTCCTGGTGAGGCTGATGTGGAGAACAGGATTCTGCTTCTCTGAGGATTTAAAGCAAAAGTGAATCCCTCTGCTCCAGTTACACTCGAGTGGACTTTGTCCTGTCCCACATGTTCAGCTCCTGGCAGGATGGTCCCGTTGGCAAACACCAAACAGATCAGACTTTGTGCATCGTTAGGGTTGGAAAGTCCTTTAAAATCTCTGTGGATAATTCTGCCCTCTCCTGCTGCCCCTCTGGAGGGGAGTGTGGGGGTGATTGTGCCTCATTTCAGGCTCTGCAAGTAGAGCTGAGTTTGTCAGTGCTTTGAGCTCAGGTGTTGGACTGGAGATGGGGAAGGCAGAGGCAGGTGGAAGCTTGAATTATTAACAGCAACAGCGTTCTTACACTGCAAGAAACTGGTTCTGTCAACACTGGGTGACAGTGAAGTCTTGGGAGGCAAGCGTGACTCAGGGAAATGCTGCTGGCTCACCTCTGGAATGAAAGAAACAGGGAAAAAGGATGAGCATCTCTCATTTTCAGTGCACTGCCTCCTCTGGAAGGGTATTTCCCACCTGATTCCATGGGTGTTTCCCACCTGATTCAGCTGCTGTTTCCCATCTGATTCCTGTTTCTTTTGTTCCAGTATTCCTCAGCCCAGAGCACAAAGTGTGGCTGTTGGAGCCTTCCCTGCTGCCAGGGTGGATATTTGGGACTGGGGCCTGGGACACAGGAAATGGGTGTGGAGATCCCTGTGTGAAACCCAGGAGCTGGGAACGAGGGGCACGAGGAGCAGGATGGAGTCACAACCTCCACAGCAGGAGTTTGCACAGGTGGCAGCTGCTGTGCTTGTCCTGAACCATGGCTGGGATGTGGAGCAGCAAAAGAGCAGCAAAAAATTGTCTTTCTGTGTTTTCTGATATGATTTCCTGAGTTGATTTTCTGACAGGAGCAGATGCAACCTGTGCTGAGGTGACAAGACAGCGGTGGGTTGGGGACAGGTTGTGAAGAGCCCTGATGAGTGAGGCAGGGAATCTGTGTGGCACTGGGAATGTGGGGAATAGGGCAGGGAGAAAAAGGTTGGGTGATGGAATGTAAATGGGATTTTGCATGGATTTCAGGGGAAGGAGAAGCGTGAGGGTTTCGGGCTCCCCAGGAGCAGAACCTTGCTTGGAGCCAGGGTGAGGTTTCTGATAGCTGGAAGGGGAAGGATCCTGAGTGGAGCCAAAGGCTGAGGTTTGTCTCATTGCTGTGGGTGTGAAGGTACAGCCACCTCCAGGTGTCACCTCCTGGCTCTCAGCTGGCAGGGGACAAAGCTGGGGCAGGTGCAGCAGTGCCAGGACATGGACTGGTCACCACCTGCTGGGGCTGTCCCATCCCTGGGAGTGTCCCAGGCCAGGCTGGACATAGTTCCAAGCAACCTGGGATAGTGGGAAGTGTCCCTGCCGTGGCACTGGATGAGCTTTAAGGTCCTCCCAAGCCATTCTGGGATTCCGTGAACGCTGCCAGACAAATGGAGAAGGATTTGTGGTAGGAAGGAGGGATGGTCCTGCACAGAGCAGGGAATTGCATCAGGAAAAGCCCCAGTGTGGCTGAGTTCCCACACTCCTGCCCCGTGGAAATGTCTGTGCCTGTTGTGTCCTGCTGTCCCTGACCATCCCAACCTGCTGTAGAGCAGGGAATTGTTCAGGATCAGGTGGAACCGAGGGGAAACGGGGAGTTGATAAATGTTTAAAGCTCATAAGTAATGGTTTGGAGAGCTGGAATTCACTGTTAGCATACTGTGAAAATTAATTACTGTGCATTGACAGTGCAGCCTTTGAAAGAGAAGCTTGGATGGGTTTTCTGCGGGAATCTCCTGTAAATGGGTGTCACTGTGTGCAGGACAAAGGCTGGTGTGTTTGGGCACTGCTCTGTGAAGTCCTGTCCCTGCTCTGGGCACTCTCAGACGGCTTTGGGGTCCCCTAGTGAAAGCTGCACTTAGGCAAAATAAAGAGGAGGAGGAGGATGTGAAAGAGGAGAACAGCAGCCTTTGTTATCCCTAAAAACGCAGGGTTGGACCAGGAGGGATGCTGCTCCCGAGGGCTGTCCTGGGACATGGCCCTGTCCCGTGTCCAGGGTGCAGCAGTGACATCGTGTCCTGCCCCACCTGGAACAGGAACGTTTGTCCTGTGTGTCCAGAGAGCAGGACGGGTGGAGAGGTCACAGAATCCCGGCATGGTTTGAGTTGGAGAGGATCTATGGGATTGTCTGGTTCCACCTGCCATGGCAGGGACACTTCCCACCATCCCAGCCTGGCCTGGGACACTCCCAGGGATGGGACAGCCCCAGCAGGTGGTGACCAGTCCATGTCCTGGCACTGCTGTGCCTGCTCCAGCTTTGTCCCCTGCCAGCTGAGAGCCAGGAGGTGACACCTTGAGGTGGCTGTACCTTCACACCCACAGCAATGAGACAAAGCAGCAGAAAGCAGAACTCCCTCCACTGTCCCCTCCTTCCTTGGCTGCCCCAGCTCCTCCCTGGGCAGTGACTCCAGTGCTGAATCCGTGGTCCCTGCTGGCTCCAGCTGTGGCTGTGTCCCCAGAGGAACAGCCTGTCCCTGTTCCCCTGCATTCCCACTGCTGTTGGAAAAGTGCTTTCCTTCCCTGAGGCCGCCTGCCAGTCCTGGGAGCCAAACTCCAGCCCCAAACCTGGATTTCCCCTGGCAGAGGAGATCTCTGCTGCCCTCCTGAAGATGTTTCCACTCGCAGTGTGACGTGGGGCTGCAGCACAGCTCCTGCCTGGCCAGGAGCAGGATCAGGCTGCGGGAATTGAGCTATTCCTGCTGGGTCACAGGCAGGTCAGGCAGTTTGCAGCTCTCTCCCAGCCTAATCAGCTTTGCCTCCGTGCTCTGCCCATCCAGCCCTGCCCAGCACATCCCCAGCCCTGGCTGTGCCATCCCCACACACTGATTCATCCCTCGGCAGCTGGAGCTGTGCCCGGGGGGAGCCGTGGTGTCCGTGCCCCTGCCCAGCCCAGTGGGAGCAGGGTGGAACTGGAATTGAACTGGGATGATTTGGGGCTTCACTGGCAGAAATTGGGGTGGGTAATTTTAGCAGGCTGGAGGTCTAAGCTGGCTCACCTCAGAGCCCGCAGCATGCAGGGATTTCATGAGAGTCTTAACCCTAATCTAATTAGAGCAGCAGTGGGAAAGTGAGGAGTCCTAGAAACCCCTGAGTGGATTAAGAGGTTGAAACCTGAAAATTGCTCAGAGTGAGTGTGTTTTACCCAAATTGTGCAGAGCTAAGCTGTTCAGACAAAATCATACGCACAGGGAGTCCCTTTGCAGTGAGACAATTTAATCTGCTGCAATTCCAGATTTAATTCCTGTTGGGGAAGCTCAGTCTGCCTTCATCTGTGATCACTCTTGGATGATAAAGTTAATTTTGTGGATTATTTTCTCCACTGTCGATTCTGAAGAATAAAAACTGCTGTAAAAGGGTCCACCAGGCAGCTGTGAGCAGGACAGGAATCCTGTTTGGGTGGAAAAATAAATCCCAGCACGGTGCCTTTGGGCCTGTTAATGAAGAATTGGGAAAAATCATTCAAGTATTGCTGCTGCAGCTCAGTCACTGCTTATTTGTGGGGTTTGAGATATTTTAGTGTTGTCCAGCAGTTCCTTGGAGAGGGAAAATCCCATCCTCAGGGCTGCAGGGGAATTCTCAGCTCGGGCCATGGTGCCTGCAGGAGTTTACCTGTGCTCCTGCTGCTCTTCCTGCTCCATGGGGAGCAGCTGGATCCGGTTCTGAAGTGATGAAAATCCACAACCAAGGAGTGCCTGCTGTGGAAAAGTCCTTTTTGCAGCCTGATTCTGCTGAATTGTCGACTCAGTGTCTTGGACAAGTGCAGGAGGAGCTAAGGGAACACTGGAAGAGTCTCTGGAGCTCCTCAGAGCTGAGCTCTCCGTGCTGGGGAAGGGAGAGGGGTGAGGGTTTGGCCAGGGTGAATCCCTGTTGTTGTGTGTTTCTGGGAAGGGAGGAGCAGGAAGTGGAGGAGAATTTATCCCAGATCTCCCAGCCCTGATGAGGTGGTTATTAACAGTCTGGGATTCCCATGGAATCGGGAATTTTAATGAAAATAGAGAAAAATTCCGTTGTGAGTGACCAGTAGAACTTGAAGTTTTATTTACTCCTACGATGGGAATTTGAAAGTAAGAATTTTCCCCAGCTTCTCTCATTTCCCAGGCTTTCCTGGTATTGTTGTGCATGGACATGGTGCTGAATAAACCCTTGGACACCAAGAAATGACATCAGGCTCAGGGGGAGCCTTGTCTGTGGGCAGGGAGGATGGAACTGCTCTGAAATCCAGAATCTGGGATTCCAGACAGCGTTCAAGTGCATGTGGGCTCTTCTCCACTGTCAGATCACTCAGATTTGTCTCGTGATAAGATCAGAAGTGCCTTGAACCCCTTGGATCTTAACCCCTTAACTCCCTGGATCCATGAGAATCCCTGGGAAGTGCATGAACACAGGGGGGAGCGTGGCTGTTCATCCTGATTTAGCTGAGTGCTGCTGTGTGATGCCTTTAGCATCAGAGTTCTGATAAATAATCTGCATTTCTCATTAGGAACAGCCTTTTCCCCCAGTATTGGGGTTTCTGAAGGGCTTTTTCCATCCCTGCTTCTCAGGATGCTTGTGGCTGACAACGTTTGCCTTCTCTTTCGGGTGGCCTTCAAGTTGAAAATACGAAATTAAAATATTAAAGCATATTGTGGTTGAACTCTTGCATTACCTTTGCAAAAACTCCAGTTTTATAATTGTTCCCAAAGGGAATGAGACCTTGATGTCCTCCCACCCTCCGCTTGACCTCGTCTGTTTTGGGACACCATTGTTTGAATAACCATAAAACAACATGGAAATCCCTTTGAATTTTATACATTATTGATGTTTTGGTGCAGATTGGGAGCTCTCCATGGGCTCCGTGCTTCCTGCATCCACAGCTGGGCGGGGGGTGTGATCCCCAGGGAAATCCTGGCACTCTCAGCTGTGTAATTCCTTTGTCCCAATAATAGCCTGGCAGTCCTGGGGTGTGCCCTGGCCCAGGGTGACACTCAGGAGTGACCACGGTGTCATTGTCCCTCCTGGCTGAGCACGTCTGGCTCTGCCACTGGTGGCAGTGCAGAATCCTGGAATGGTTTGGGCTGGAAGGGACCATAAAGCCCATCCAGCCCCACCGTGGGACACCTCCCACCATCCCAGCCTGGTCTGCAGCACTTCCAGGGATGGGGCAGCTTCTCTGGGAAACCCAGGGTGGAATTTCTTCCCAGTATCCCATTCATCCCTGTCCTCTGGCAGTTTATCCCCATTCCCCGCTGTCCTGGCGCTCCAGGCCCTTGGAAACAATCCTGCTTTATCTTTCCTGTAGCCCCTTCAGGTACTGGGAGGCCACAATTAGGTCACCCTGCAGCTCCTGTTCCCCAGCCTGAGCAATCCCAGCCTTTCCTCACAGCAGAGCTGCTCCTGTAATCACTGCTGGGGAACTTGGGAATAATCCAGGCACCGAAACCGGGCTGTGGCCCTGCCTGGATCCTGGGATGGGAATGAGGGGTGGCACTGTGTCCATCCTGAACCTGGGAATGAGGGGTGGCACTGCCACTTCTGGGGCTGGGAATGAGGGGTGGCCCTGCCACTTCTGGGGCTGGGAATGAGGGGTGACACTGCCACTTCTGGGGCTGGGAATGAGGGGTGGCACTGCCACTTCTGGGGCTGTTGCTGAAGGTGTTGGAGTGTTGGAGTCCCTCCTGTGCAGAGTCAGAGCCAGCCCAGCATCCCTGGTGGTGCTCCATGTCCTGGCTCAGCGTGGGGCTCCTGCAAGGGTCACTTGGGGGGAGCAGTCACAGATTTGGGGTCAGGAACCATTCCAAGGTGTGAGGTTTCTGTTTCCCAGTGGCTCCATGGCCGTGTTTTGCTTCCATTTGGGAAGTGCTGCCTCTGCACTTCCTTTCACAGTTCAGCTTTCAGCCAAATCACAAAGCAGTTTTGCTGCCCCAGTCCTTTTTTTTTTTCCTCTCCTCCCCTTTGTTTTCTGCATCCCCTTTTGTTTTAAATGTCAATAACCAATAAGGTACCTCTTATTTCTGTTCCAGAATTTTCTCTTTCCTGGATGTGGTCACTCTGTGTCGTTGTGCTCAAGTTTCCAGGGTAAGAACCTTCCTCCTTCCTGGTGGATTTTAGCAGGGGGCTGGATTTGGGTGACAATTCTCCCTCTCCAGCCCTCCCCATGGGGGTTGGGCCAGGGAGCTTTGTGCCACTCAGCTGGGCTTATTCAGCATCCCCTGGAAGTCCTGGAAAATTCCCATAGCACCAGTGAAGGGGAATTCCAGGTTGGAATAGCATTTTCCAGTGTCCCAGGTACAAAGGGGAGGGAGCTGATGTTTTGCCCAGAACTCTCCCCTCATTCTGGGTTTGTTCAGGGAGCTCACCCTGCTGAAATCCCCAATGTGGGATGAGCCCCAAATGACATTGTGTGGTGGAAATACGTGAATGGGAGTACATTTGGTGGAAATACAGGAATTATAATTCACAAAGATGCTGCACAGTCAATGAAAGTTCATTTTCTCCTTGGATGTAGCTGGAGTAAGCACGGAATTAAAGTGAGGGGTTGTTCTTATCCTTGTGGGCTTCAGTTAATGAAACCCAGCCTGGATTATTTGCCTGGGAGAATTCCTCCAACTGGGCTGGAAGGTTCTGGAGCTGCCAGATTTATCAGGTGCTTTTTCCTGCCACTGGTAACTCCCAGGGGAAGCAGCACAGCCAAGGGTGGGGTGGTGTCACCCAGCACAGACCCATCGATGCTGGCTCCAAACCTCAACCACAAACTGATTTAATTACTCCTAGCACATTGGAATTATAAAAAAAAAAAAAAATTCAACATCGTTAATTACATTTAAAAATACCCTGTGTGGTGTCTGGGCATTCCAGCTGTCACCTGAAGAACACAGGTTGTGCAGGGAAGAGCTCCCAGCGGGAATCCAGCAGAGCAGATTGGGCTGTCAGGGGTTCTTTGCCCATGTCAGGGTGTTCTCCTGGGCTGTCAGGGGTTCTTTGCCCATGTCAGGGTGTTCTCCTGGGCTGTCAGGGGTTCTTTGCCCATGTCAGGGTGTTCTCCTGGGCTGTCCCAGCTCCTGTTTGCACAGGGAGCACAGCATTCCATGGCACAGCACGGGGAGTTCCTGCAGGGATGTGCAGGAAGGCTCTGGAACATTTCTGCCCATGGAATTATGCAGCCACTGGGGCATTTCCCACTGCTTTTCTCCTGGCCATAACCAGACCTTAAAATAAACATCAGCAGTGAGGTTTAAACCCAAAAAAAATCAATTAACACTCAGTTCTGTCGTCTGTTGTGGCTCTGCACTAACTCCTGCCCCAGAACTGGTGTTCTGTGATGGGGAGGAGCTGGGATTTGGGATGGAAAATCCCCCTGTGTTTATCCCTGCCTCTTGCACAAGGCTGGCTCCTGGTTACTACAAGCTCCACTTGTTTACCTTGCTGACATAAATCCAGCTCTCTGCTCCCCATCTGGCTGAGGACAGCTCAGGGAGTTCCTGCTCCTCCTCTGGGGCAGGAACCACGGCAGATTTTGGTGATTTAAAGACAAACCAAGCCCTTTGTCGCTGCTGCAGCTGCAGGGGGGGCTCACCTGTGTCCTCTGGGAGTAAATCCCAGCCAGGAATGTGAAGATTCCCAAGCTCCAGGTGCTCTGCTGGATCACACCTGCACCTCCCAAGGGAGTGGGAGCAGCCAGGGCAGCTCTTCCTTGGCTGGGGGACTCGGAATTCCGAATTGTGCCTGCCCAGTTCTCCCTGCAGGAATTACCTGTTGCTTTCCCACCTGGAACAGAATGTTGTTTCTCTGTGACTAGGTCCCCACTGACCTTTTTTTTTTTTCATATTAACCACACATTTACATTTTTTTCCCCCAATAAAGGCATGGAATGTTCTGGCCCTGGATGGCAGTAACTGGCAGCGAATTGACCTGTTTGATTTCCAGAGGGATATTGAGGTATAATTGACATACAAACCCATTTTTTTTTTTCTTGTTAAAATGTAATTACAGCCTAGAATGGATTCATACTCCCAGCATAACCCTTTCTGCCTTCCCTGGAGATAGAAATCATTAATTTCAGTTCTTCAGCTTCAGGGAGTCTTTTAAAAGTCTTGGCAATCCATTCAGCTTTTGAAAATGGACAGAATTCTACATCCCTAGCAAGACTTAAGGGTAGCAGTGGAAGGAAAGTAGTTTTTGTCTGTTCTGAAAACAGAAATCGGTAGAAAAGGTTGATTTTTTTGGGGAAAACTGCTGCTTTTATGGATGAGAATTTAAGCTACTCCTCCTTGCACTCAGATAAGAAGGTGAGGACTGAATGTCTGTTGAAGCATGGCCTGCAGTGTTTGCATCTTTAATACCAAAAATTGAAATTGAAGCGAAGGTGATTCGGGGTCCTGTCCCTAAAAGATGCAGCTTTGGAGCTGCTCCATTGTGGCTGAACCCGTGGGATGTGGATTCTTCAGCACCAGTGGGGGTGGAGGCTGAAAATTCAAATTACATTGAGCAGGAAAGGGGGATGAGGAAAAACCCGATCCTTAAGTCTCTTATCAGGGTGTTTTATCCTGTTTAAATCACACTGGAGGAGGGAAATGGGGAATGTTTCACATTGAAGGGAAATGGGGAATGTGTGGCTTTAACTTGCGGTACACGGAGGCATCAAGCAGCTGCTGAGTGAAAGTTCCCACTTTGGGGGAAATCCAGCCCTGATTTTGCAGGAAAGTGTTGAAATCATCCCTTTGGGCAGCTGAGAGTCAGGGATGAGGAGGAAATGGCACCTGGACAGGGATGAGGAGGAGGAAATGACACCTGGACAGGGATGAGGAGGAGGAAATGACACCTGGACAGGGATGAGGAGGAGGAAGGGACACCTGGACAGGGATGAGGAGGAAATGACACCTGGACAGGGATGATGAGGAGGAAATGACACCTGGACAGGGATGAGGAGGAGGAAATGACACCTGGACAGGGATGAGGAGGAGGAAGAGACACCTGGACAGGGATGAGGAGGAGGAAGAGACACCTGGACAGGGATGAGGAGGAGGAAATGACACCTGGACAGGGATGAGGAGGAGGAAATGACACCTGGACAGGGATGAGGAGGAGGAAATGACACCTGGACAGGGATGAGGAGGAGGAAATGACACCTGGACAGGGATGAGGAGGAGGAAATGACACCTGGACAGGGATGAGGAGCAGGAAATGACACCTGGACAGGGATGAGGAGCAGGAAATGACACCTGGACAGGGATGAGGAGGAGGAAATGACACCTGGACAGGGATGAGGAGGAGGAAATGACACCTGGACAGGGATGAGGAGGAGGAAATGACACCTGGACAGGGATGAGGAGGAGGAAGAGGCACCTGGACAGGGATGAGGAGGAGGAAGGGACTCCTGGACAGGGATGAGGAGGAGGAAGGGGTCACTGCCACCTCAGCAGGGTCTGAGTGCCCTGGGGGAAGGAAATGGATTTTGGATCTTCATAATGAATCCTTCACCTCATAACGTGCCCTAAAAATCCTGGACCCAGGATAAAAACCCTGGAATTGTTTCTTTAGAGTGGAGTTCTCAGGGTTCCTGATGTGTGGAGTGGCAGGAGGTGGGACTGAGGAGATGGGAGGAGGCAGAGGCTGGGAATACAAACCAGGCTTTTCCCATTCCTCAGTGCTTTTTGGGTGGTTTTCATGTCCCTGCACATCAAAGCCGTGCTCTTGCCCAAGCCCAGGCTTCCCCTCTGAAAACAAAACTCTGGAATTTGTTGTACCTCACCTCAAAGTTCCTGCTGGGCCTCCTGGAATCCTCAGGCTCTGCTGTAAATGGATTTACGTGAAATGGAAATGTAAATTGATTGAAGTTAAATCCATCAATCCATGTAAATTCTTGACAGAAACACGTTTGGCTCCTCGAATTCCATCAGAATTCCTAGATTTGATTGAGGAATTGCCAAATCAGGGAGTGTTTCAGCTTTTCCAGCCTTTTTGCAGGGCTGTGGAGGTCGAGGGCGCTCCTGTGGTGTCCCTGAGCTCACCCAGCTCCTTTCTCTGATGCTGGGGTTGTGTTGAGCCTGATTTGGGGTTTTTTAGACTGGAAAAGAAGAAAATCCTCATCTCCCAGAGGTCCCAAATGCCAGTTAGTCCTGGAAGGACCGAGGGATGCTCCTGCTCTGTGAGGAACAGCCAAAGTGCAGGGGAAGGTTCTGAGTTTCTGGTACAAATATCCTCCAGTGGTTTTGCCCTTCAGTCCCAGGGGAAAGGTAAATCCTGGCTGTAATGGGGTCTTTGGATCCAGATCAGAAATTAAAAAGCCTTTTCTGGATCTCTGGAGTGCAAATGGTTGGATTTCCTACAGGAGCAAAACACGTGGGCTGGTTCTCATCTCTGTTTTGGGTAGAAATTGGAGTTTATCTGTTGGCTGTGCCTGGGAATCCGGGCTGTAGCTGCTCTCCCCTTCCTTAGGGAGTCTGAGCCCATGTCCAGGAGCTCCAAACCAGAGGAAATTTCTCAAAATGCTTTATCTGACCTGCTTTAGGTGACTGCTCCTTGTCTCTCCATCTTCAGAAGCTGAATAATTCTCCCTCCCCCTCCCTTAGCCCATCCCCACAGCATTTTTATTCCCTTAGCACCGTTTTCAATCATTAAAATTAAATTAAAATCATTGTTTTATCTGCAAAACCTTCACTTCAGCTTCCTGGAGCTCTTTGGGGTTCTCAGGTGGCTCCTGCTGTCTCCCCCAGGGCCGAGTGGTGGAGAACATTTCCAAGAGATGTGGGGGATTCCTGCGGAAGCTGAGCCTGCGGGGCTGCCTGGGAGTGGGGGACAACGCCTTAAGGTAGAGCTGCACCTTTGGAACGGGCTGGAAAAACCAGGACTGGGACAATTTATCCCTGCAGGACCCTCAGGATGTCAAAACCTGGAGAGCAGGGACAGACATTATTAATTTCTCATTTAATTTATCAATTTTATTATTATTATTATTATTTCTTTAATCATTTTTATAATTTAATTTGCCATTTGTAAAAATAATTTATTGGGGTTTTGTCACTGAATTTAGCATTTTTAACCTCATCCAGCAGTTACTTCTCTCATTTCTCATGAGAATAAAGCCAAGGGGTGAGGGTGATGGGCACTGGGTGCCTCCAGGCTGGGACATCCCAGGGCAGGAGGTGGGGCAGCAGAAATCAGGGATTTTCTTGGGTTAGTTCCCGATTTTCTTCTTGATTTTCTTGATTTTTTTCTTCTTTATAGATTCTTTCCCTGATTATTTTCTTATTTCTTGATTTTTCTTGGTTCTTTTCTTTTCCTTGATTTTCTTTTTGATTCTCTTGATTTTCTTCTTGATTTTTTTGACTCTTCTTTCTAGATGCCTTTCTTCTTTACTGATTTCCATCTTCTCTTTTTTTCTTGGGTTTCTTCTTGGTTTTCTTGATTATTTTATTCTTGATTACTTCTTTTTTGATCTTCCGGGTTTTCTTCTTTCTTGATTATTTTATTGATTTTCATCCTGATTTTCTTCTCGTTTTTCTGGATTCCTTTCTTCTTTCTTGATTCTTTCAATTTTCTTCATTTTCTTCTTGATTCCCTTCTTGATTTTCTCTATTTTTCTTCCCCAGTCTCTTTGAGATTGTAAATCTTGTAAATTGAATTTTGTAAAATTTTAATCTGAATTCCACTGCCTGACAAATCCAATGTTTTCCCTTTCCCCAGGACCTTTGCCCAGAACTGCAGGAACATCGAGGTGTTGAACCTCAATGGTTGTACCAAGATCACGGATGCGTGAGTAAAACCCTTCCCTCTTCCCTGGCTATTCCTGTCCTCCCTCTCTTTTTTAAGGGAAAGCTCCAGGGGTGTGGGAGGTTTTCCATGGAATGGTTTGGCTTGGAAAGACCTTAAATCCCATCCATTCCCACCCTGCTATGGCAGGGACACCTTTCACCACCCCAGGCTGCTCCCAGCCCTGTCCAGCCTGGCCTGAGACACTTCCAGGGATCCACAGCTTCCATCCTCAGCCCAGCCTGCCCATCCCATGGGAATTCCGTGGTCTGGGATGAATCCATTGCAGGAGTGTCCCCGTGTGTCTCTTCCAGCACCTGCACCAGCCTCAGCAAGTTCTGCTCCAAACTCAGGCACCTGGATTTGGCTTCCTGCACCTCCATAACCAACCTGTCCCTGAAAGCACTGAGGTAGGAGCCGGCAGCAGGGATTTCCCATGGAATTCCAGCATCATTGAGGCTGGAAAAGACCTCTGAGATCCTCCAGCCATCCCTCCCTCTGGAGCTGGGCTCTGCCTGGTGTCCCAGAAATGGGAATACCGCAGCTCCTGGCTGGGAGCAGGATTTTTCCCGAGGTAAATGAGCGTTTCCATGTGTGTCCCTGTGTCCCCAGCGAGGGATGCCCGCTGCTGGAACAGCTCATCATCTCCTGGTGCGACCAAGTGACCAAGGACGGGATCCAGGCGCTGGTGCGGGGCTGCGGGGGGCTGCGGGCCCTGTCCCTCAAGGGCTGCACCCAGGTACGCCTCTGGAAAAGTGGGAATGGCCCTGGAAATCCAGGGATTTGGGTTATTCCCTTCTCCAGAATCCCCGTGGTGTTGGAGGTCTGGTGCTGGAGTGGGACAGGGAATGAATGGCTGGTGGAGCAGGAGAATCCTTTGATCCCAGTTTTCCTTTGGAGGAGGCTGCTGTGATCCATGGCCTGATCCAGCCTTGGGAAGGTTCCATGGCAGCCCTTCCCTCTGGCTGCTGATGGAATTCCCTCCCCCTGCCTTGGATTTGTAATCAGACAATCTCTTTTTCCTTGGAAAACTCCTCTGCAGCCCTGGGAGCACAATCCCATTCCCTCAGGTACATCCCAGGGATCTGGAGAGTGTTTATATATCCCAAAATAGAAACATATTTATTATATTTTATTATTCCACAATAGATACATTTATATATTTATATATCCCAAAATAGAAATGTATTTTATTATATTTTATTATCCCACAATACATACAATTATATATTTATATATCCCAAAATAGAAACATATTTATTATATTTTATTATTCCACAATATATACATTTATATATTTATATATCCCAAAATAGAAATGTATTTTATTATATTTTATTATCCCACAATACATACAATTATGTATTTATATATCCCAAAATATAAATATATTTTATTATATTTTATTATCCCACAATACATACATTTATATATTTATATATCCCAAAATAGAAATATATTTTATTATATTTTATTGTCCCACAATACATACATTTATATATTTATATATCCCAAAATAGAAATATATTTTATTATATTTTATGGTCCCACAATACATACATTTATATATTTATATATTCCAAAATAGAAATATTTTATTATCCCACAATACATACAATTATATATTTATATATCCCAAAATAGAAATATATTTTCTTATATTTTATTGTCCCACAATACATACAATTTTTATATATCCCAAAATAGAAATATATTTATTATATTTTATTATTCCACAATAGATACATTTATATATTTATATATTCCAAAATAGAAATATTTTATTATCCCAAAATAGATACATTTATATATTTATATATCCCAAAATATAAATATATTTTATTATATTTTATTATCCCACAATAGATACATTTATATATCCCAAAATCTGTATTTTGGGATATATAAATGCTGAAAGGGATTTTTTTTTCCTCCTTTTTTACACTTTTTTGTTCTTTAAACTGACTTTTCTTTAATCCTTCTTTATTCTCTTACCTGAGGAATCATTAAGAAGTTTGATAAGTAAAATATCTCCCTTTATTATATTTTATTACGATGGCCACAGTAAGAATAATAGTGATAATTTTGTAAGACTGAAAATAATGATAAATAATAATAAATAATAAAAAAGAATACATTATAATAGTGATGATAAAAATAATAATAATAATAAAATAATAATAATAAAATAATTACTTATAAGGATAATAATGATAATAATGACGATTATAATGATACTAATGATAATAATAATAAAATAAAATAACAATAATAACAATATTAATAACAATAAAATATAATAATGATAATAATTACACCAATAATAACAATAAAATATAATAATTATAATAATTATAATAATGATAATTATTATAATAAATTGTAATAATAATAAAATTATAATTATAATAATGATTATAATAATAATAAAAAACTTAATAATAAATAATAAAAATAAAAATAAAAATAATATTCCAAAGCATTTCTGGGGCCAGGCTCTGCTCCTGATGGGGCAAAAGGCAGGAGCACTCCTCCTGCTGCTGCTCCTGTGCTGCCTTTCCCTCCTTCCCAGAGGAAATCCCAGTGTTCCCAGTTTGAATTCCCAGTGCTCCCAGCTCCCGTCCCTGTGTTTTCCCTTCCAGCTGGAGGACGAGGCTCTCAAGTTCATCGGTGCCCACTGTCCCGAGCTGGTGACCCTGAACCTGCAGACCTGCCTGGTGAGCGGCCAGCGCGGCATTCCCGGCCGGAATGTGCTCCGTCCCCCTGCACAGGGGTCACCTGTCACCAGCAGCCCCTTGGTGGCACTGCAGGGACACCGAGCCCCACACCTTGGCTGTGTGCAGGGTGTTCTCCCTTCCCTCTGACCCCGTCTGCGGGATGAGCTGGGGAAGTTCTTCCTGCCAGGCCTCTGCTCTCGTCCCCGTGCGGAACTGAGCCCACAGCGGCGCTGTGCCTGCATGGAACAGCAGCTCTGCAGGGCCAAAAATGGGTGTTTGTGGCAAAAAATAGATTGGCATGGGCTCTGTGTCCGTGCCATCACAGTCTGACACGGGGACTGGGGTGGATGTGTGCAGGGACAGGGATGGACAGACCCCCAGTGTCCAGGGATGGGGCAGGACAGACCCCCAGTGTGCAGGGACAGGGATGGACAGACCCCCAGTGTGCAGGGATGGGGATGGACAGACCCCCAGTGTCCAGGGACGGGGATGGACAGACCCCCAGTGTCCAGGGACAGGGATGGACAGACCCCCAGTGTCCAGGGACAGGGATGGACAGACCCCCAGTGTGCAGGGATGGGGTAGGACAGACCCCCAGTGTCCAGGGATGGGGCAGGACAGACCCCCAGTGTGCAGGGACAGGGATGGACAGACCCCCAGTGTGCAGGGACAGGGATGGACAGACCCCCAGTGTGCAGGGATGGGGTAGGACAGACCCCCAGTGTCCAGGGACGGGGATGGACAGACCCCCAGTGTGCAGGGACGGGGATGGACAGACCCCCAGTGTCCAGGGACAGGGATGGACAGACCCCCAGTGTCCAGGGACAGGGATGGACAGACCCCCTGCATCTTTCCAAGCAGGAATTGCAAAGCCCTGCAGGAATCCCAGCACCTTCCCCCATCCCTCACCTGGCCCAGCTCCAAAACCTTTCCCTGCAAATATTCCCAAATCCAGTGAGGTTTATCCTCCCTCTGCTGCTCCAGTGAGCCGAAAGAGCAGGAATCTGGAATTTTTTGGGCCAAAAGAGCTGGAATTTGGAATGGAGAGAGGGAAATCCTGCCGGGATTGAGGCTGTTGTGGTTTCCTTGGCAGCAAATCACGGACGACGGGCTCATCACCATCTGCAGGGGCTGCCACAAGCTGCAGTCCCTGTGCGCTTCCGGCTGCTCCAACATCACCGACGCCATCCTCAACGCCCTGGGACAGAACTGCCCACGCCTCCGGTCAGTTTTCCCAGGATTTCCCCCTTGGAACACGCAGCACAGGCTCCAGGTGCTGTCTGAACCATTTCACATTCCGCATTTTTCGGGGTTTTTTATCCCCGAGTGTTTGGAAGAGGCTGGTTGTGATTTTTGAGTTGTCCGCCCAAATTCTTGGGGTTTAAACTCGGTTAAAAGAGCTCCCAGCGTGGTGCCCACAGGCTCCATGTGAATCCATGATGAAAATTTGGGATTGGGTTACTTCTGTCTCGGGAAATGGGGAAAAAAAAATTCCAGTTTAACCAATGTTTCCTTCCACCCTGAGGCTGAACGGGTTTTTCCTGGTGGTTTTGTAGCAGGTGGAATTTGGGAAAACTCCCCCTCTGCCTGGCAGGGTGGGCTCCCATCCTCTGCTTGGTTTTCCTGGCTTTTTTAAGGATTTTTTTTTTTAATTAGGATGTGTTTCCTCTGGAAAATGTTGCTAAAACCCAGAAAAATGGGCAGAAAAGTGAGACTTTTATTACCCTGACAGCCAAGTGCCTCAAAGAAATGGCATCAAATGCAATTGGATCAAATCCAGGGAAAACAGGGAGACATCAAACAACATCAAACCTATGTCTTCCAAGGAAAAACAAACCCCAGCTGTTCCCTGTGATGTCCCATTTTAGGAATTTGGGAACAAAGTGCACAGAAACGGGGTTGGAAAGGTAAAATTCCAGTTCAGTTCCAGCGGTTCCTGTGTTTACATTCAGCCTCAGAGGATTAAGCTCCATCCTGTGGAATACAAAAGGCACTTCAGGAACGTGGGAGGATTTTTTTTTTCCTGTAAAAGCAGAGAAATTGGTTAAAACTGTGGAGGGAACCCCTGTGGAGCTGCAGGAGCTGCCAGGATTTTTCTCCACTCCCACAGGAACGAGCAATTCACCCTGAAAGGCTTCAAACATCTCCATCGGTGCCTTAAATATGAAATATTTCATGTTCACCTGCCTGATTTTTGGGAATTCACCTTTTCCACGCTGGGATCTGTCTCTGGGGTGCAAATTAGAGATTTTGCTTCCCAGAACCTTTCCCTCAGCGAGGCTGTGAAGGTTTTTGGGAGCACCTCATTCCAGCATTGGGTGGATGTTTCAGCCTAATTCCCATTTTTCTGCGGCCCTCTGGAATGGAAGTGGCTGCTCCATGTAAATTATCCTCAGCAAACTTTTAGGGATTGCTGGAAGCTTTTCTGGGAAACCCTTGGAAGATAAACCCTTGGGAATAAGGCAGCAGGTCAGGCTGAGCCTCTGGAGAGCAGCTCTGTGGGTGGGGAGGAGAGGGATGGAGGGGATCTGTGAATCCATGGGAATATCTCAGATATCCATGGAAATACCCCATCTGAGAGAGGATCCCATCAATCCATGGGAATATCTCAGATATCCATAGGAATATCTCAAATATCCATAGGAATACCTCAGATATCTTTAGGAATATCTCAAATATCCATAGAAAAACCTGTGTGGGAGGAGATCCCATCAATCCATAAAACTGCCCCATGGATCCGTACGGATATCCCACGGATCCGTACAGATATCCCACGGATCCATACAGATATCCCCCGGATCCATACAGATATCCCCCGGATCCATACAGATATCCCCCGGATCCATACAGATATCCCCCGGATCCATACAGATATCCCCCGGATCCATACAGATATCCCCCGGATCCATACAGATATCCCCCGGATCCATACAGATATCCCCCGGATCCATACAGATATCCCCCGGATCCATACAGATATCCCCCGGATCCATACAGATATCCCCCGGATCCATACAGATATCCCCCGGATCCATACAGATATCCCCCGGATCCATACAGATATCCCCCGGATCCATACAGATATCCCCCGGATCCATACAGATATCCCCCGGATCCATACAGATATCCCCCGGATCCATACAGATATCCCCCGGATCCATACAGATATCCCCCGGATCCATACAGATATCCCCCGGATCCATACAGATATCCCCCGGATCCATACAGATATCCCCCGGATCCATACAGATATCCCCCGGATCCATACAGATATCCCCCGGATCCATACAGATATCCCCCGGATCCATACAGATATCCCCCGGATCCATACAGATATCCCCCGGATCCATACAGATATCCCCCGGATCCATACAGATATCCCCCGGATCCATACAGATATCCCCCGGATCCATACAGATATCCCCCGGATCCATACAGATATCCCCCGGATCCATACAGATATCCCCCGGATCCATACAGATATCCCCCGGATCCATACAGATATCCCCCGGATCCATACAGATATCCCCCGGATCCATACAGATATCCCCCGGATCCATACAGATATCCCCCGGATCCATACAGATATCCCCCGGATCCATACAGATATCCCCCGGATCCATACAGATATCCCCCGGATCCATACAGATATCCCCCGGATCCATACAGATATCCCCCGGATCCATACAGATATCCCCCGGATCCATACAGATATCCCCCGGATCCATACAGATATCCCCCGGATCCATACAGATATCCCCCGGATCCATACAGATATCCCCCGGATCCATACAGATATCCCCCGGATCCATACAGATATCCCCCGGATCCATACAGATATCCCCCGGATCCATACAGATATCCCCCGGATCCATACAGATATCCCCCGGATCCATACAGATATCCCCCGGATCCATACAGATATCCCCCGGATCCATACAGATATCCCCCGGATCCATACAGATATCCCCCGGATCCATACAGATATCCCCCGGATCCATACAGATATCCCCCGGATCCATACAGATATCCCCCGGATCCATACAGATATCCCCCGGATCCATACAGATATCCCCCGGATCCATACAGATATCCCCCGGATCCATACAGATATCCCCCGGATCCATACAGATATCCCCCGGATCCATACAGATATCCCCCGGATCCATACAGATATCCCCCGGATCCATACAGATATCCCCCGGATCCATACAGATATCCCCCGGATCCATACAGATATCCCCCGGATCCATACAGATATCCCCCGGATCCATACAGATATCCCCCGGATCCATACAGATATCCCCCGGATCCATACAGATATCCCCCGGATCCATACAGATATCCCCCGGATCCATACAGATATCCCCCGGATCCATACAGATATCCCCCGGATCCATACAGATATCCCCCGGATCCATACAGATATCCCCCGGATCCATACAGATATCCCCCGGATCCATACAGATATCCCACGGATCCATAAAACTGCCCCATGGATCCATACAGATATCCCACAGATCCATACAGATATCCCATGGATCCATACAGATATCCCACTGATCCATACAGATATCCCACTGATCCATACAGATATCCCACTGATCCATACAGATATCCCATTGATCCATACAGATATCCCATGGATCCATACAGATATCCCACTGATCCATACAGATATCCCAGTGATAACGGCTCCCTGGCTGGAGCCATTCCCGTGTCCCCTGCTCCGGGTGACGCTCCCTGGCCAGGGGGCTGCACTCCAGAGCTCATTCCCAGCCTTCTCCTGGGATTCTGGGGCTCCACCACGGTTCTTGTGTCCTGCAGAATATTGGAAGTGGCGAGGTGTTCCCAGCTGACCGACGTGGGCTTCACCACCCTGGCCAGGGTAAGAGCCCTCCTTCCCCTCCTGCTTTCCCTTCCTTCTCATGGCAAAAAAAAACACAAACACAGGAAATTTGGGAAAACTTCCTTGGGGTGGAAGCTTAAATTCAAAAATTTGGTTTTATGGGATCGTCCTGGCTCGCACACCTGGGAGGATTTGTATCCAAACCACAGGAAATGTTAAATATTTTAGTTATAAACTTTGCTGTTTGTCTATAAGTGACCCTAAATTTAACTCCCTTTACTCTCCATGATTGAAAAACCTGATAAATGAGTGAAATTGGAAAGCAAATTGTCTTTGTGGTGGTTTATTTATATTTATATTTATATTTATATTTATATTTATATTTATATTTATATTTATATTTATATTTATATTATTTACATTTTAATATTTCTATTTATATTATTTATGTTTATACCTATATTTATATTTTTATTTATACCTATATTTATACCTATATTTTTATTTATATTTATACCTATATTTATATTTTTATTTATACCTATAGTTCTATTTATACCTATAGTTCTATTTCTATTTATACCTATATTTATGTTTATATTTATATTTACATTTATGTTTACATTTATATTTATACTTATACCTATATTTATACTTATATTTATATTTATACTTATATTTATTTGTACATTTCTTTTTATATGTTTGTATGTTTATATTCTCTTTTTACATTTATCCTTTTAACATATTTAATATACTGTTTATATTTAAAATATAATTTAATTATCTTTATTTATAAAATTTTAATTTTTTTTGTTAATATTTATATTTGCTGTCTGGACTTTACACTCACCCCGGATGTTTGGAATTCTCTTTATTCCTAGAATTGCCATGAGCTTGAAAAAATGGATCTGGAGGAGTGTGTCCAGGTAAGAAATCCCAGCTCAGGCTGTTTCTCTTGCAGCAGTTTGGAAAATTGGTGGAAAATGAGATTTTCCTCCAAATCAGAACTTAATGTGGAATCCTGAGTGGGGAGAGTGACTGGATTTGGAGTGGAAAATGTTGGGAATGATCATTTTTGATCATTGGTTTGGATTCCATGGGAACAGTGCTGTAAATAAAAAATATTTAATATTAAATATATATATTTACTATTATATATTTTTATATATTTATATATTTATATAAATATTATATCTTTTATGTATATTATAGAATTTTTAATATCTATTACATTTTATATTTATATATCCTTATAAATAATAAATATTTAATAGTGGGAGCTGCTGGGTCAAATAATGGATTTGTGAGAGAAAATCCCAGATTTTTGAGGGAAAATCCCAGATTTTTGAGGGAAAATCCCAGAGAGAAAACTCATCTTGCTAAAAATAATGGGATTTTCCCCTGGTTTGGAAAACCATGTGGAAAATTGTGGAACAGCAATGATTTCGGGGGATTGAAACCAAAATGTCCTGAAGCATTTACAGGGAAAAGGGTGGAATTGACTCAAAATCCCTTGGAGAAAAACCTCCAAGCCCCAGGGTAGATTGGAAACTGAGGCTGAGACGAAGGGAATGGGATTGTGGTTCTTGGGAACAGCTGGATCCTGCATTTCCTGGGCAGAAATTGGGGAGATGAAGAGGGAATGACATCAGCCCAGGCAGGAGGGGATTGGGAATTAACCCCAAAAAGGAAGAAGCGAAGCTGAGCCAGGGCACAGATCCACCCCAGGCAGCTCACCTGGGAATTTGGGATTGGGAACCTTTGTGTGGGATCCCTTCTTCCTGCAGAAAAGCAGGAACACAAATCCATAGGGAGTGGGGAGGGAATCTGAGCTCTCCTTGTCCTTCCAGAGGCACATTTGGGACACGCTGGGGAGCTGATTGCAGGAATTTAAAAACAATCCAGTGATGCCTCTGCATCCCAGTTCTCCAAGGGCAGATTTCCATGAGGAGATGGATTCCTGAGTGGGGAAATCTCATGGATTAGGGAAAATCCTGCAGTTTTGCAGTTTGTCCTTGTGCCCCAGCACCAACTTGAAAGGGTTTTTCCTTCTTTTCCAGATAACAGACAGCACACTAATCCAGCTTTCCATACACTGTCCACGGCTGCAGGTCCTGGTGAGTATTCCAAGGGACATTCCCAGCATTTCCTTTCTCCAAACAAAGGGATTTTAATCACTCCCTGAAAAGTTGGAAGAATTCTGCTGGAAACCTGACCCTGAGGAGCCTCTTTTCCCTGCCCTGCTGCTCACAGGAATCCCACACCAGGCAGGAAAAGGGTTGTGGGGATTCTCCTGGGAGCAGAATTCCCAGTGGGATCTGCTGTCTGTCCATCTGTGGGAGAGGAAGGAGCTGGAATGCTCAGTGGCTCTGGGAAGTTCCTTTGGGGCTGAATCTCTGGGAATTTGGTCTCTGTCAGCCCTGGGTTTGTGCCATGAAGGATTCCTGGCAGGTGTGGGAATGTGGGAATGGGGGTTCTCCAGTGCAGTCATCCCTCAGGAAAACCACTTCCAGCTCCTGGCTCAGGCCCTGCTTCCTCCTTGAGGACTTTCCAGCTGAATCCCCCAAAAATCCACCCTGAGGGGGGGCTGTGGTGCTCCTGCTGCTTCTGGGAGCCGGAGCCAGGGCTCTTCCCACGGTGGGAGAGGCCAGAGGTGTCCCAAAGGTGGGATCTTGGATAGCTCAGGTGTGCTGGGATCTCTGTGCCCCCCTGGGGTCTCATCCCTCCAGGGCTGCCTTCCCCTGGAGCCATGGCAGGGACCCTCAGGATGATCCTGTTCCCATGGCAGGGACACTTCCCACTGTCCCAGGCTGCTCCAAACCCCGTCCGTCCATCAGCGATGGATTTGGGCTCGTGGAGAGCTGAAATGGTTTGGGTTGGATGTTTTCCATGGGTTGCTCCAGCCTGGCCTGGGACACTGCCAGGGATCCAGGGGCAGCCCCAGCTGCTCTGGGCACCCTTTTCCAGGGCCTCCCCACCCTCCCAGGGAGGAATTTTCCCCCCTCCAACTGGAAGTTTTCCCTTTGGAAGCACATCAGTCCTCAGAAGCCCACGGAGCCCAGTGGCTCCAGTGCAAGGAGCCAGCACAGGCCAGCCCAGACCCACCAAGCACAGACCACCCTCTCACATCCCCAGCGAGCTCCTGGCTGGTTTTGGGGTGTCAGGAGCTGGGTTTGACCCCTCTGTTTGGGGGGGCAGAGTTTATCCCACTGCGAGCTGATCACGGACGACGGGATCCGTCACCTGGGGAACGGCGCCTGCGCCCACGACCGCCTGGAGGTGATCGAGCTGGACAACTGCCCCCTGATCACCGACGCCTCCCTGGAGCACCTCAAGAGCTGCCACAGCCTGGAGAGGATAGAACTGTACGACTGCCAGCAGATCACACGGGCTGGCATCAAGAGACTCAGGGTGAGCAGGGACAGGGGAGCGCTGGGATCGGGGGGGTTTGTCCATAGGGAGGGCTGAGCTGAGTGCCCATCATCATCATCATCATCACCATCATCATGGCCTGGTGCTCTTGCTCAGAAGGGCGGTGAGAACCATCAGCGATGGATTTGGAGCTGTGGAGTGCTGAAATGGTTTGGGTTGGATGTTTTCCATGGGAGGCTGGGACACTCCAGGGATCCAGGGGCGGCCCCAGCTGCTCTGGGCACCCTGTGCCAGCCCTGCCCACCCTCACGGGCAGGAGTTTCTTCCCAGGATCCCCTCCCAAGTCCATTTCTCCAGGTGTAAACAACATTTTGTCTGCAAAGAGAATATGGATCTGTAGTTACACCATAAAATTATGGAGTCTTTGGGTGGTTTGGGTTGGGAAAGCCCATCCAGTCCCACCCCTGCTGTGGGCAGGGACCTTCCACTATCCCAGCTCGTTCCAAGCCCCATCCAGCCTGGCCTTGGACACTTCCAAGGATGAGGATCCCACCAGTTCCCCAAAACTTCCCAATTACCGGGGCGGGAGGAGCCTCATTCCCTGTCCCCAGGTGCCCCCAGCGTGTCACCCTGTCACCTGTGGCTGTGCCCCAGGAGCTCCGGGCGTGTCCCTGACTCGTTCCCTGTGTTTCCCCTTCCAGACCCACCTGCCCAACATCAAAGTCCACGCCTACTTCGCCCCGGTGACCCCCCCGCCCTCGGTGGGCGGCAGCCGACAGCGCTTCTGCAGATGCTGCATCATCCTATGACACTGGAAGCTGCTCCCGGCCAGCGGGGCTGGAACCACGCCCGTGCCATCCCGGGGGACACCGGCGATCCCAGTGTCATCTGCCAGGGCCAGCGAGCGGGGCCGGGGTGCCCTGTAGCCACCCACACCCCCCCTGTGATCCCACCCGGCCCGGCGGGATGAGCGACTCGCCACGGGAGCTGCACCGCGTTTCCCCGGCTGGATCGGCCTGATCCTGAACCATTCCTGCTGGGAATACCCCGGGGAAAAACCCCGTGGGAAGGAGGGGAGGGAGCCCAGCCTGCAGGGACTGATGCTGCTGGTGAGGTTGGAAAAGGAGCCGAGGTCCTTGGAAGTGGGGAGAGGAGAGGAACACGCTTTAACCCCGCAGCCGTTGTGCGGGGGGAAAAACCCCAACAAACCTGGAAACCCCAACAAGGTCTGTGTCCCTCTGTCAGGGAGGGAATGAAACTGCAGCTGCTGAGCCAGGGTTTACCTGGGATCCAGGATTTCCCTGGGATCCAGGATTTATCTGGGATCCAGGATTTACCTGAGATCCAGGATTTATCTGGGATCCAGGATTTACCTGGGATCCAGGATTTATCTGGGATCCAGGATTTCCCTGGGATCCAGGATTTACCTGAGATCCAGGATTTATCTGGGATCCAGGATTTATCTGGGATCCAGGATTTCCCTGGGGTCCAGGATTTCCCTGGGGTCCAGGATTTACCTGAGATCCAGGATTTATCTGGGATCCAGGATTTCCCAGTGATCCAGGATTTACCTGAGATCCAGGATTTATCTGGGATCCAGGATTTACCTGAGATCCAGGATTTCCCAGTGATCCAGGATTTCCCAGTGGTCCAGGATTCCCCTGTGCTTCCCTGTTCCCACCCTGATGATGCTCACATGAAGAAGGCTCTTCTTTCCCATGTGGCATCCAGCTCAGAGGCTTCCCAGATTCTTCCCAAATTGTGTGATAGGCCTTGGAGTTTCTAATGCCACATATTTTACCCTCCCCAAATCCTGGTTGTTTTTTTCAATTTCTTCTTTTTTTTTTCTCCCTTTAAATTTTTTTACTAAATTTCTGATTCAGTCATTTCTTGAGATTTTCCAGCCCAAAGCAAAGAATACATAAGGAATTCTTTTCCCAGGAGAAGCCTGAGCCTGTGATGAGCTGTCAGGAAGATTTTAGGTGAGCTGCACCCCAGGCTGGGCTCTCCTGGGCTTCCTGACATGTTTGATCAGGGATTGGGTGTCCAAATTTATCCCAAATCCAGGTTTTATCCCAATGACAAGGATACAATTCTCCATACAGGGAATAATATATATCTATATATACAAATATATAATTCTCAGTACAGGGAGAAAGTTCTAATCCGTGTTCCAGCCACTGTGAGCTCCCTCCTCCTGTCCTTTCCCTCCATCCTTTCCCTGAGGAAAAGCAAAGCAGAGGTTCTTGCTTGCCCTGGTGAAGAATTGAGGATTCCCTGGGGGAGCAGGGCTGGGATCCCCCCCGAGCTCCCCACCCTGCACAGGTAAGTGTGGAAGGAGCCCCGGGATGGGCTTTGGATGTGCCAGGGCCAGGGAGAGGGGTCGCTGGCTGCTTTTTTTGGGGTGTTTCAGGCAGAAATGGGTGCAGGGGAGCCCGGGCTGACCGAATTGCAGGTGTGGAACTGCTGGGCAGATCCCAAGGGTTTGAGGGGGCAGGGTTGGTCAGCCTGGGGCGGGTCCGTGTCCGTCTCTCCCGCTGTCCGTGCCCACCGACGCTTCCCCCGGGCTCTGAGGACGCTCCTGCTGGGGAAGGAGCAGCTGCAGCAGCAGGAATGGCTGCTCCAGGGGCTGGGAGGGAGCTTTCCCACCAGGAATTCCAAGGAGGATGCGCCGTTCTCCCCCCGGAGCTGCACCCCCCTCATCTCCCGCAGCGCCCCGGTCTGCGCTCACGCTCTGCCGGGAGCAACTCCGGCCTGCCGGGGTTAAAAGGATACTGTCAATGCCCTCCTGTAGATGGCTTTTAATCCCTTATATTTATTCAAGTCCTCTTTAGCGCTGTGGATTCTCCCCCTCTCCTCAGGCGCCTTCATTTCCAGAACTTTCTCCAGGTTTCGGGGTGGCAGAAGATGGTGGTGACGGACTGGACGGGTCACCCGGCAATCACAGGATTTGCACAACTCTGGGAAAAATAAAACAAAAGCAACTTTTGTTTAGTTCCTACGGTGGCAGAGGAGAGCGAAGAGCGGGATTTGGGAGCCAGGGCGTTGTTGGCTGGCTGATCCCTTTGTAACAGAGCAGAGTTTTCCAGGGAAAACTCCGGAACACAGAACCCAAAGCAATTTATTTTCTGTTTGCAGACCAGGGTGACAGCATTAAGGTAGCTCAAACTTCTTGACAGTGTCCTTTTAAGTCAATTATCCGTCTTCAAATGGACTCTTCCTGATGTTTATATTTATAAATACCAATAAACACCATTTTCCAAGCCGTGTCTCTCTGGGGGAATCACTGGGTCGAGGAAAATCCACCCCCTGTGTGGGGCAGCTCCCGAGGGGGGGTCTCGGGGTGCTCCGAGTGTCTCCCTGGAGTCATGGAATGGTTTGGGGTGGAAGGACCTCGAAGCTCCTCCAGGGCCCCCTTCCATGGCCCGGGATGCTCCGAGCCCCTTCCAGCCTGGGGCTCTTCCCGGGTGGGAGCCCCAGGGAATCGCTCCGTGCTGGGGTGTTTGAGGTGTCCCTGGGGGCTCAGGGACAGGATGAGGATCCCATCCCATTTCCGAGCTCCCTGGCTGTGCCAAATCCGCTCCTCCAGCCTCGGCTGGGCTGGGCAGCTCCTTGGATTTCATTCCCTTTCCTTGGAATCCTCCGTGGTTGTGTCCCCCAGCCCTGGGGCAGAGGCTGGGCTGTCCCCACCTCCCTGCAGGATTTTCTGGAGCCTGGATTTGCCTTCCAGCAGCTGCCCCTGGAGCCCCGAGGGGAGCGGGGACCGAGGGACCCCCCCAGGGAAACAGCCTGGGACAGAAAATCCTCCAGCAAGGCTGAGCAGATCCAGCGCAACCAAAGGAGGATTTTCTGGGCTCTGGAGACGCTGCAGCGCCTTTTATCCCGATCCTGTGGCAGGGTGAGGATGGGAAAGGTGGAAAGTGCTGTCACAGGGGTTTCAAACCAAGAAATTCCTATTTTCTGCACATCTCTGTAATTCCCTTTGTATTTCTGTTTGATTTTCTCTCTCTTGTTCATGGCTGGCTGCTGCTGCCGTGGGTTTGGGGGTAACTGGGGGGTTTTTGGCAGGTTAGGGCTGGATTGGGATCAGTGTGACAAGGTTCTTGGCTACAGTGTCCTGGCAAATGAGGTTTAAAACATTTTGGCTCCTGGTGAAGAGTTGTGTGCTTGAGGGGCCTGGGGGTGTTTTGGGGGGGTTTATTCCCTTTTGCTTTATTTTCTGGCATCCAGGTCAAGGTTCCTCCTCTCCCTCTGTGCCAAAGCCTGGCAGAAGCTCCTGTGCTGCGGCTTGGGGTTAAAACGATGGAGAAAATCAAGGAGAAGCCTCTTTTCCTCCTCAATTCCCAGCTCAGTCCGTGCCTTCCCAGCCCTCTGTCCTCCCCTGGCCCCTGCAAGGACCCATCCCGGGAGCAGCAGTGTCCCATCAGCTCCGTGTCCCTGTCGCTGCCCTGGGGCTCTGGCTGACCTCACGGGCAAGTTTGGGGTTGATTTTTGAAGGGCTGGGAACGCCGCCCTGTGCCAGCAGTGCCGCGCCCGGGGCTCTCTGTGCCTCATCCTCTGTCCCCAGAGGTGCAGCTGAGCCCGGCCGGGGGTCCCAGGGGCTGCGAGCCCCCTCCTCTGTGCAAACCCCATCCCCGAGCCGGGGCCCTCGGGGGTCTCCGGGGGGCTGGACACGGGAGCTGGGCCTTGTCGTGCCCTCCCTGGCTCTGCGGGACACAGAGGGCTGGGAAATGTTGTTTAAACCGCGTGCTCTGTGCTTGTCTCGACCCTGCGCGTGTAACAACGCCATCGAGTCCCGTGAATGTGTAAATTCCCGTGGGAAAGGTGGCCCTGGTCCCTGTGACACCGCGGGCCATCTCTGGGGGTGGGGGCGGAGGGGAAAGGGCCGGTGGGACCAAGCTCTGGATCCCCACGGAGTGTTTTTGGGAGGGTCGGGGGTGTTCCCTTGTCCCCTCCAGGGCTCCGTGTCCCTGTCGCTGCCCTGGGGCTCTGGCTGACCTCACGGGCAAGTTTGGGGTTGATTTTTGAAGGGCTGGGAACGCCGCCCTGTGCCAGCAGTGCCGCGCCCGGGGCTCTCTGTGCCTCATCCTCTGTCCCCAGAGGTGCAGCTGAGCCCGGCCGGGGGTCCCAGGGGCTGCGAGCCCCCTCCTCTGTGCAAACCCCATCCCCGAGCCGGGGCCCTCGGGGGTCTCCGGGGGGCTGGACACGGGAGCTGGGCCTTGTCGTGCCCTCCCTGGCTCTGCGGGACACAGAGGGCTGGGAAATGTTTAAACCGCGTGCTCTGTGCTTGTCTCGACCCTGCGCGTGTAACAACGCCATCGAGTCCCGTGAATGTGTAAATTCCCGTGGGAAAGGTGGCCCTGGTCCCTGTGACACCGCGGGCCATCTCTGGGGGTGGGGGCGGAGGGGAAAGGGCCGGTGGGACCAAGCTCTGGATCCCCACGGAGTGTTTTTGGGAGGGTCGGGGGTGTTCCCTTGTCCCCTCCAGGGCTCCGTGTCCTCCCCGTGTCCCCGTGGCTGTGGTGGCAGCTCCGGGGCTGTCCCAGCTCCTCACCCGCGTCCTCCGGCTCCTCCCGGTCCTTCCTCTCCTTTGTTTATCCCAAGCCCGTCCTCTGCCCCGGCAGTTCCCTCCCAAGGACGTCCCCGGTCCCGCTCCGCCGGCGGTGCCCGAGCGGGGCTCAGGGAAGGATTCGCTGTTTAAAATAATCCATTCCCGACTGGGACGGGACCTGCCCTGCCCTGGTGTCCCTGCCCTGCCCAGGGAGTGTCCCCGCACCCCAAATCCACCCTGGGGACCCCAAAGCCCAGCGGGCGCCGCAGGGACGAGGCTCGGGGCCGCTCCCCCATCCTTTAATAACCAAGGGGGGCACGGGGAGGGACGCGGCGGCTGCGGGGACAGGACGGGTCCGGCCCCCGGGCCCTGCTCGGCCGCGCTGGCAGGGACGGGGGGACAGCTCTGGTGACTGTGCCAGCCTCGGTCCTCTCGGTCCCCGCTCGGCTCCGGCTGCCGCGATGTCCCTTGGCCGGGGGACGCAGCTCCGGGGCCGGCTCCTACCGCAGCAGCAGCTGGAAGCCGTCGGGGCCGGGGGCTGCGGGGAACGCGGCTCAGCCGGGGCCACCGATCGCCCCCTGCCCGGCCCCGCTCGCCCGCGGCCACCGCGCTACCTTTGCCGATCGCCACCACGAAACTCGTCTCGTCCTGGAGATTCCTGATCATCTGCGGGGGACAGGGGGGAGCTCGGGGGGGGCTCGGGGGGAGCTGGGCCCGCTCCTGCTCCAGCGCTGGGACCCCCGAGGGGCCGGGATGGCTGCGGGGTCTGTGCGGCCCCTCCCCGGCTGTCCCCGTGTCCTCACCGCGTCGCTGACGAGGACGTGGATGCCGGCGGGTCCCTGCCGGGAGAGGCGCAGGATCTGCCCCGGGGGGAGCCCCAGCAGCTCCGCCAACTTCCCGGTGAGCTCGGCCACCGTCAGCTGCTCCAGGTGCAGCTCCTGGTACAGCCCTGGAGAGGGATGGGATCCATGGGATCCGTGGGATGAGGGCTGGGAGTGTCCACCCTCCATCCCTGCGCCTCCGCACACCTGAGCCCCCTCCCCGCACACCTGAGCCCCCTCCCCTCACACCTGAACCCCCTCCCCCCACACCTGAGCCCCC